GGTGCGGGTTGTCTTTGGTGTTGTCTTGGTAGTTGCTCTTGTTGTCCTTCTTGTTGTTGTTGTTGTTCTCTTGGTTGGCTTCTTAGTTGTGGTTTTGGTGGTGGTGGTGCGGGTTGTCTTTGGTGTTGTCTTGGTAGTTGCTCTTGTTGTCCTTCTTGTTGTTGTTGTTGTTCTCTTGGTTGGCTTCTTAGTTGTGGTTTTGGTGGTGGTGGTGCGGGTTGTCTTTGGTGTTGTCTTGGTAGTTGCTCTTGTTGTCCTTCTTGTTGTTGTTGTTGTTCTCTTGGTTGGCTTCTTAGTTGTGGTTTTGGTGGTGGTGGTGCGGGTTGTCTTTGGTGTTGTCTTGGTAGTTGCTCTTGTCGTCCTTCTTGTTGTTGTTGTTGTTCTCTTGGTTGGCTTCTTAGTTGTGGTTTTGGTGGTGGTGGTGCGGGTTGTCTTTGGTGTTGTCTTGGTAGTTGCTCTTGTCGTCCTTCTTGTTGTTGTTGTTGTTCTCTTGGTTGGCTTCTTAGTTGTGGTTTTGGTGGTGGTGGTGCGGGTTGTCTTTGGTGTTGTCTTGGTAGTTGCTCTTGTTGTCCTTCTTGTTGTTGTTGTTGTTCTCTTGGTTGGCTTCTTAGTTGTGGTTTTGGTGGTGGTGGTGCGGGTTGTCTTTGGTGTTGTCTTGGTAGTTGCTCTTGTTGTCCTTCTTGTTGTTGTTGTTGTTCTCTTGGTTGGCTTCTTAGTTGTGGTTTTGGTGGTGGTGGTGCGGGTTGTCTTTGGTGTTGTCTTGGTAGTTGCTCTTGTTGTCCTTCTTGTTGTTGTTGTTGTTCTCTTGGTTGGCTTCTTAGTTGTGGTTTTGGTGGTGGTGGTGCGGGTTGTCTTTGGTGTTGTCTTGGTAGTTGCTCTTGTTGTCCTTCTTGTTGTTGTTGTTGTTCTCTTGGTTGGCTTCTTAGTTGTGGTTTTGGTGGTGGTGGTGCGGGTTGTCTTTGGTGTTGTCTTGGTAGTTGCTCTTGTTGTCCTTCTTGTTGTTGTTGTTGTTCTCTTGGTTGGCTTCTTAGTTGTGGTTTTGGTGGTGGTGGTGCGGGTTGTCTTTGGTGTTGTCTTGGTAGTTGCTCTTGTTGTCCTTCTTGTTGTTGTTGTTGTTCTCTTGGTTGGCTTCTTAGTTGTGGTTTTGGTGGTGGTGGTGCGGGTTGTCTTTGGTGTTGTCTTGGTAGTTGCTCTTGTTGTCCTTCTTGTTGTTGTTGTTGTTCTCTTGGTTGGCTTCTTAGTTGTGGTTTTGGTGGTGGTGGTGCGGGTTGTCTTTGGTGTTGTCTTGGTAGTTGCTCTTGTTGTCCTTCTTGTTGTTGTTGTTGTTCTCTTGGTTGGCTTCTTAGTTGTGGTTTTGGTGGTGGTGGTGCGGGTTGTCTTTGGTGTTGTCTTGGTAGTTGCTCTTGTTGTCCTTCTTGTTGTTGTTGTTGTTCTCTTGGTTGGCTTCTTAGTTGTGGTTTTGGTGGTGGTGGTGCGGGTTGTCTTTGGTGTTGTCTTGGTAGTTGCTCTTGTTGTCCTTCTTGTTGTTGTTGTTGTTCTCTTGGTTGGCTTCTTAGTTGTGGTTTTGGTGGTGGTGGTGCGGGTTGTCTTTGGTGTTGTCTTGGTAGTTGCTCTTGTTGTCCTTCTTGTTGTTGTTGTTGTTCTCTTGGTTGGCTTCTTAGTTGTGGTTTTGGTGGTGGTGGTGCGGGTTGTCTTTGGTGTTGTCTTGGTAGTTGCTCTTGTTGTCCTTCTTGTTGTTGTTGTTGTTCTCTTGGTTGGCTTCTTAGTTGTGGTTTTGGTGGTGGTGGTGCGGGTTGTCTTTGGTGTTGTCTTGGTAGTTGCTCTTGTTGTCCTTCTTGTTGTTGTTGTTGTTCTCTTGGTTGGCTTCTTAGTTGTGGTTTTGGTGGTGGTGGTGCGGGTTGTCTTTGGTGTTGTCTTGGTAGTTGCTCTTGTTGTCCTTCTTGTTGTTGTTGTTGTTCTCTTGGTTGGCTTCTTAGTTGTGGTTTTGGTGGTGGTGGTGCGGGTTGTCTTTGGTGTTGTCTTGGTAGTTGCTCTTGTTGTCCTTCTTGTTGTTGTTGTTGTTCTCTTGGTTGGCTTCTTAGTTGTGGTTTTGGTGGTGGTGGTGCGGGTTGTCTTTGGTGTTGTCCTGGTAGTTGCTCTTGTTGTCCTTCTTGTTGTTGTTGTTGTTCTCTTGGTTGGCTTCTTAGTTGTGGTTTTGGTGGTGGTGGTGCGGGTTGTCTTTGGTGTTGTCCTGGTAGTTGCTCTTGTTGTCCTTCTTGTTGTTGTTGTTGTTCTCTTGGTTGGCTTCTTAGTTGTGGTTTTGGTGGTGGTGGTGCGGGTTGTCTTTGGTGTTGTCTTGGTAGTTGCTCTTGTTGTCCTTCTTGTTGTTGTTGTTGTTCTCTTGGTTGGCTTCTTAGTTGTGGTTTTGGTGGTGGTGGTGCGGGTTGTCTTCGGTGTTGTCTTGGTAGTTGCTCTTGTTGTCCTTCTTGTTGTTGTTGTTGTTCTCTTGGTTGGCTTCTTAGTTGTGGTTTTGGTGGTGGTGGTGCGGGTTGTCTTTGGTGTTGTCTTGGTAGTTGCTCTTGTTGTCCTTCTTGTTGTTGTTGTTGTTCTCTTGGTTGGCTTCTTAGTTGTGGTTTTGGTGGTGGTGGTGCGGGTTGTCTTTGGTGTTGTCTTGGTAGTTGCTCTTGTTGTCCTTCTTGTTGTTGTTGTTGTTCTCTTGGTTGGCGTCTTAGTTGTGGTTTTGGTGGTGGTGGTGCGGGTTGTCTTTGGTGTTGTCTTGGTAGTTGCTCTTGTTGTCCTTCTTGTTGTTGTTGTTGTTCTCTTGGTTGGCTTCTTAGTTGTGGTTTTGGTGGTGGTGGTGCGGGTTGTCTTTGGTGTTGTCTTGGTAGTTGCTCTTGTTGTCCTTCTTGTTGTTGTTGTTGTTCTCTTGGTTGGCTTCTTAGTTGTGGTTTTGGTGGTGGTGGTGCGGGTTGTCTTTGGTGTTGTCCTGGTAGTTGCTCTTGTTGTCCTTCTTGTTGTTGTTGTTGTTCTCTTGGTTGGCTTCTTAGTTGTGGTTTTGGTGGTGGTGGTGCGGGTTGTCTTTGGTGTTGTCTTGGTAGTTGCTCTTGTTGTCCTTCTTGTTGTTGTTGTTGTTCTCTTGGTTGGCTTCTTAGTTGTGGTTTTGGTGGTGGTGGTGCGGGTTGTCTTCGGTGTTGTCTTGGTAGTTGCTCTTGTTGTCCTTCTTGTTGTTGTTGTTGTTCTCTTGGTTGGCTTCTTAGTTGTGGTTTTGGTGGTGGTGGTGCGGGTTGTCTTTGGTGTTGTCTTGGTAGTTGCTCTTGTTGTCCTTCTTGTTGTTGTTGTTGTTCTCTTGGTTGGCTTCTTAGTTGTGGTTTTGGTGGTGGTGGTGCGGGTTGTCTTTGGTGTTGTCTTGGTAGTTGCTCTTGTTGTCCTTCTTGTTGTTGTTGTTGTTCTCTTGGTTGGCTTCTTAGTTGTGGTTTTGGTGGTGGTGGTGCGGGTTGTCTTTGGTGTTGTCTTGGTAGTTGCTCTTGTTGTCCTTCTTGTTGTTGTTGTTGTTCTCTTGGTTGGCTTCTTAGTTGTGGTTTTGGTGGTGGTGGTGCGGGTTGTCTTTGGTGTTGTCTTGGTAGTTGCTCTTGTTGTCCTTCTTGTTGTTGTTGTTGTTCTCTTGGTTGGCTTCTTAGTTGTGGTTTTGGTGGTGGTGGTGCGGGTTGTCTTTGGTGTTGTCTTGGTAGTTGCTCTTGTTGTCCTTCTTGTTGTTGTTGTTGTTCTCTTGGTTGGCTTCTTAGTTGTGGTTTTGGTGGTGGTGGTGCGGGTTGTCTTTGGTGTTGTCTTGGTAGTTGCTCTTGTTGTCCTTCTTGTTGTTGTTGTTGTTCTCTTGGTTGGCTTCTTAGTTGTGGTTTTGGTGGTGGTGGTGCGGGTTGTCTTTGGTGTTGTCTTGGTAGTTGCTCTTGTTGTCCTTCTTGTTGTTGTTGTTGTTCTCTTGGTTGGCTTCTTAGTTGTGGTTTTGGTGGTGGTGGTGCGGGTTGTCTTTGGTGTTGTCTTGGTAGTTGCTCTTGTTGTCCTTCTTGTTGTTGTTGTTGTTCTCTTGGTTGGCTTCTTAGTTGTGGTTTTGGTGGTGGTGGTGCGGGTTGTCTTCGGTGTTGTCTTGGTAGTTGCTCTTGTTGTCCTTCTTGTTGTTGTTGTTGTTCTCTTGGTTGGCTTCTTAGTTGTGGTTTTGGTGGTGGTGGTGCGGGTTGTCTTTGGTGTTGTCTTGGTAGTTGCTCTTGTTGTCCTTCTTGTTGTTGTTGTTGTTCTCTTGGTTGGCTTCTTAGTTGTGGTTTTGGTGGTGGTGGTGCGGGTTGTCTTTGGTGTTGTCTTGGTAGTTGCTCTTGTTGTCCTTCTTGTTGTTGTTGTTGTTCTCTTGGTTGGCTTCTTAGTTGTGGTTTTGGTGGTGGTGGTGCGGGTTGTCTTTGGTGTTGTCTTGGTAGTTGCTCTTGTTGTCCTTCTTGTTGTTGTTGTTGTTCTCTTGGTTGGCTTCTTAGTTGTGGTTTTGGTGGTGGTGGTGCGGGTTGTCTTTGGTGTTGTCTTGGTAGTTGCTCTTGTTGTCCTTCTTGTTGTTGTTGTTGTTCTCTTGGTTGGCTTCTTAGTTGTGGTTTTGGTGGTGGTGGTGCGGGTTGTCTTTGGTGTTGTCTTGGTAGTTGCTCTTGTTGTCCTTCTTGTTGTTGTTGTTGTTCTCTTGGTTGGCTTCTTAGTTGTGGTTTTGGTGGTGGTGGTGCGGGTTGTCTTTGGTGTTGTCTTGGTAGTTGCTCTTGTTGTCCTTCTTGTTGTTGTTGTTGTTCTCTTGGTTGGCTTCTTAGTTGTGGTTTTGGTGGTGGTGGTGCGGGTTGTCTTTGGTGTTGTCTTGGTAGTTGCTCTTGTTGTCCTTCTTGTTGTTGTTGTTGTTCTCTTGGTTGGCTTCTTAGTTGTGGTTTTGGTGGTGGTGGTGCGGGTTGTCTTTGGTGTTGTCTTGGTAGTTGCTCTTGTTGTCCTTCTTGTTGTTGTTGTTGTTCTCTTGGTTGGCTTCTTAGTTGTGGTTTTGGTGGTGGTGGTGCGGGTTGTCTTTGGTGTTGTCTTGGTAGTTGCTCTTGTTGTCCTTCTTGTTGTTGTTGTTGTTCTCTTGGTTGGCTTCTTAGTTGTGGTTTTGGTGGTGGTGGTGCTGCATTTTGTCTTCGTTGTTGTCTCTTTTTCTTTTATTTTTTTGGCTATTTTTCTGTGTGTTGTATATATTTTTGTTGTTGTTGTTTTTGGGGTTGTTTGTGTTTCGCTTTCTTTTTTGGTTGTGTGTTTTTGGTTGATTTTTGGGAATTCTATTTTTTTTGTCGTATCGGTTTCTTTTTGTTGTTCTTTTGTTATATATGGTTCTTTTGCGACGTAATTGCCTCTGTTGTATTTTATAGGTGAAATAATATAGAAAATGCATATTTAATTCTTTTGTTTTCTCTTTTTTTATGTAGCAAATATTTTATTTTAGTTTCGATTTTGTTAGGAACTTTTTTATTTTTGTATTTATTGTGAATTAATATTAATTTTTTTTGGAATGGTTTTTAATTTGAAGTTTTGCGGTATATTTCCTCACGTGCATATATGAACTTAAATGTCACTGATTATTAGTAATTATTTTGCAGATATCACTTTCACGTTTTTCTCCTCTTGAGCATTACTCTACTATGACGCCACTGGGGATTTAATATAGGACCTGAGTATTAAGAATGAAGTATTTCGGACATCCGACTACACGGCTGGAATTTAATGACGAATGCATTTCCATTTCTCTTAATCCTCATTGTACGGGGAACGTAATCCTTTGCATTAGTTATGAACTATGCTAATTAACACCTTGATTGATTTTGACCAGAAATCTGACAACTTATTGAAGTAAAAGCTATGACTATTTAAAAATACTACCTACATTCTTTAGTAAAACAAGTCAGTGTACTATTTTAACATTCTTTCCTCCACCAACATGTATATTTTATAGGTGACATAATCAAATAAAACAAGTGAGTGTTGTGGGAAATAAAGTATTACATCATAAATATATATATACATATCGTTGTAGTCGTGTTCTCTGAGCAAACACCTGAAAAGACAGAGAATTTTTCGGAAGCCTTTTATTCAAATGAATCGGCGATTAATAGACACATCGACGTAGACAAGATTTACCAATCCATAAGAAGGATATTCCATTCACAAAAAGTTAGACATCAGATCAAGGAAACAATCAGTACGAATACGAGTAGACCGAACGGTGTGAAGAAACACAGAAACACTTAATCACTGACGTTGAAGGTTACCAGGAGAAATGACTAATAAACTCGTGAAGAAACTTAAAAGCTCACTTCAAATTGAAGTTCGCACTGAGGATGTTGCCCAGTAAGACGATGAAAGCTTCACAAGTAAATCATCTAGCTCAGAGAACACAACCACACCGATATTGCTAAGAAGAGTAAGTCTTCGTTGGATTCATTTTCTTTTATATTACCCAATAGGGATTTTCAAGTTGCTTAAACGTTGCAAGGACCCGGTGACGGCAAAGGCGCTAGACAATTTCTGGCATTACTCTATCAAGCTTGCAGTAGCGAAAACAGAGATAAAGTTTCCAAGAGAATGTTCAGATAAATATGAATATCCAGAGTTGTACTAGAAATCCCTGAGACGCAACGATATCTACCTGAATACCAGATCACTCAAAGAACACACACGTAGCAACACTGACTCCACTCAATCACGTGTTCCTGAACTAGGACGAAGTGTGTACGTATGAGTTCATGAAGTCAGCAACCTAGATGAAGAACTACGCCAATTCTTCGGAGAATATGTCCAAGAAGTCACACAGAAACAATGTGATAGGATCAAGTTAAATCTAATTATGAGGCTAAAGTCATCTAGTAATACTAAACATCCAATCCCAATCAATCCAGAAAAATATGTATTGAATCTCTCAAACATCGAACTGTTAACACTTCAACCAGAAGTAGTATCCCTAGGTCCAAAATTGTGCACGAAACCACCCAACATCCACTAACCTCAATCCCAGGTTTATTTTCAAAACTTGATAAGTAAAATATATGACCTGGTACCAACATCTGAAAAGAACCTCAAGCAATTAAAATCATCAGTTCTTGATAAATGCCATAAGTTTATAAATACTTAACCAAATGGGAGGTTCATAATAACCAGGAAACATTATAAAGAACTGAAAGAATCAATGGGCAACAAAGAGAACATTCTGATACGCTCTGATAAAAGTGTGGGAATAGTAATCATGAATCCTGAGAACTACATAAGTGAAATGCTGACTGTCCTATCTGATTAAAACAAATTCACAAAACCAGTTAATGAAAAGAACATGGTGGAGCGACCCAGACAAAAACTAACTGATATCCTCCGGAAACTAAAGACTGAATCATCCACTGATCCCGAAAAATTCGAATCACTGAAGCTGTTTGGCTCAAATCCACCTCGAGTTTATGGATTACTAAAAGTGCATAAGAAAGGCACACCTCTTCGACCTACCTGCCATCTGACGAATTCACCTTATCATCTCACTGCCCAATGGCTATTAGACCTACTGAAACCAATGAGAAGGCAAGTTTCCTGCCAATCGCCCCTTCGACTTAGTCAGCTCCATTAAAAACGTCAATGTTTTTAATCGAACTATGTTCTGACTAGATGTGGTATAACTGTTTACAAACGTTCCACTAGCTGAAACAATATGCTATATATGCAAAAATATTGATTCAAAGGGGATAAATACTGGTATATCTATTGACCATTTGCAGAAACGCCTAATAAGATGCACTCTAAGTGTTCAGTTTTCTCTCAATAACGAAATATAGCTATGGGCTCACCACTGAACCCATTGCTGGCAGATTTTCCCATGTCTAAATTAGAAAACATACTTTTAAAAAATGATTGACAGCTTTGAGTTTTAAAAGAAATACGTGGACAATTCTCCCATTATCTCCAATAACGAGGGGGAATTGGAGGACATCCTGAACTTTTTCAACAGCTGTTATCCTGTAATATAATTTTAATTAGAGAGGGAGTTCGACACAAAACTGTATTTTCTGGGCGTTTAGTTAACAAGATGGAACACTAAAAAGATCCATCTATAGAAAGCTGACATGGAACGGATAACTCACTAACTTTCTTAGTAGGGCGCCTCTATCTACGAAACGAAACCTAATCAGCTCGCTGAGCCACAAAATCCGCAAAATTTGCAGTCCTGACACTATGGAAAAGGAGATGAACACTCTGGAAAGAATCCTCCTAGAAAATGACTACATAGAACATTTCATGACGAAGTCTATGAAACCTAAACCACTTAAACCGCCCACATTTTCTGCTGCTAAAAAGCGTCTCTACTTCAATCTACAGTTGAACGCAGACTCATCGGCAGAAATACTGAAAAACCGCCTGTCCCGCTTAGTAAAGAAAACTTTTACGGTTGAACTTCGCATAACTTTTTCTATGAAACCAATTGCCCTCATGAAAGTAAAGCATAAACCATCAGTGTTGGCCTGATCAATGGGCATCTGCCAATTGACCTGCTCCTGTGGAACTAGACCTGCCAGGCATACCCAGCGTTTACTATCCAGACGTATCTTCGAACACTTACCCTCATGGTTTGATGAAATAGAAGAAAGATCTCCTCGTGGCTCTGTCCTTGAACACCTGACCGAATCCCTACAACAAGTCAACCCACAAAGGAATTTCAAAGCTATCTACAAAATACGAGGGGGTACGAATCACACTTCTTCAAACCACAGAGGCAATGGCGATTCACATGTTAAGTTCTGAACCATTCGGTCATTAAATGTGCAGTGGGAAGCATAAGTTGGTGAAATTAGGAAACAAAGGGTTACTAGGGGATGAGTCACCAGGGTAGTTGAAGTTCAACGACAGATTCCTTCTGGACATATTAGTCAGGTTTCAGTCGTTTTATTGCAATAGCCTCAGAAATTTGAAGAAGACTTGAGCTATTTTCTCTGTTAACTTTTTGAGTGATCTTAGAGCGCCTACATGGTGCCCAGTCTCTATCAGGTGTTTGATGATTGAAGAGCTTGAACTGTTTTTCCCTTCTAACCAGAAGCTCCTTGAAACATGTTCAAATAATCCAAAGTAAATCCTTCTTTCTGTTCTTCCAATGTAACTTCTCCCGTAGATATTTGTGAATTGGCATAACATTTGAGGGGTACTTGTCAATTTTTGACTGTAACAACAAGGAGGATGTTTGAAGCAGAGAGACTAGTTTTGTTGAAGAATACGTCCTGGGAGAGGGATTCGTTTAATCTTCTATTTATTACTCATATCGTCGCCTTTTTAGTCAAGTTCGGTAAAAACCGCCTTCGTACTGACTGTAGCTGCATCAGGCTTCTTACTTTCATTCTCGCTATATTTGTTGATGAAGCGTTGTAGGTAACCATTTTCTTTCAAGCATTTCTAAAGCAACATTAGTTCACTGCCTTTTCACACATTCACCCTACATTGTTCCTTTCTACTTCCATAACAGAATATTTTTCTGCACATTCTGAGTTCTACTTACCGTATTACGTTATCTTTTCATTTGACCTCTTGCAGATCAAATTTTGATCTCTTTTCTATGTAACTGTTACCAATTTTTTGTTACCACCCTTGTAACCGATTTGTCAATTAATTCAGATACACACTATCTACACCTAACAGTGTGGTGAATATGTTGTTACACATTTTGTTTCTACCAGTAGGTTTTCATACGAAGTGTCCAATGCACTTCTGAGATTAGTCTTCAGTCAGTATGCTGGGAGAATGTCTAGTCGTCTGTGACTAAATCTCCATGAGTATTGGAAGTGAATTCATCTGAACAGTTTACTGGGACTATAGGTGTATATCAGTTCTAAGAATGGCTAATAATGATTTCAATGATGCTCATCATTTTCCACAGTGATGTACTTATCATGTGTAACAGTACAAAGTGTAAGTTAACATTAGTCAGTTTTCTGATGACTTACCCAGGGCCATAATTGCACACAATGCTCAATCTGAACGGTGAATTGGGGCATTCTGTTACACTGCATCCAATATCGGTAGTTTCTTCCCAGACAATCTAAATGAAAAACGAGTAGTGGGATGTGAATGATGTTATTCTTTAAAAGTCTGTCTGAAACATCCAACGTGTATGCCTTGTTTCAAGAATATATATTTTGTAGATAAATGGAGGAACATCTATGGGTTCACTCTTGTCATAACAAGCTCTTCAGACTCTATTTATACACCTTAGGTTAAGTACAACTTATTTAGTATTTGTCAAATGGGTGTAGAAATCGATGTACTTCATTTTTCAACTCTTACCTGTGTATATTCATTACATTGACCTTCTTCACAATAACTTCTGAAGTAATCATAATATTTATGTTCATCCAACCATGATTTGAATCCCCTTGTTTACAAAGAAACAAAAGTGGACAAAAACATTTAAAATTGTAATGATTATGATCAAAAATGGAAGTGATAACGTAACGATGTCGAAACATAAGAAAAATTACTATGATCAACATAATAAGAAGAAGAAATAAGAGTTGAGCTAGTCTACGGTTCTGCAGAACAATCGAAACACATTATAAACTTACAGGATTAATCTATGAAATGTACCTTTTTGGCTACTTTATTAACTGTTCATCAGGTAAATCTTATCTTTTAATTCTAAATTCTGTAGTATTATGACCATAGTTAATGAAATGAATACACTCGGTGTAATCTTATCATTTAGACACTGGAATTTCTCGCAAACATTCAATAAAGACCTGCATTTTTACTACCTAACTCTATAGACATTCATAAACGATAACTAAGGAGAATAAAACCAACAGAATCAATTCATATGTAACAAAGATGGAATACTTATCTGCCTAGATAGAAGATTCAGGGATAGTTATTTCCAAACATAAAAATAATATTAGTGAATTGTGGACTGTTCTTCTTTACGACGAAAATTAATCCCAAAAATCAGTTGATTAGAGTGAAATGTTTTGAAATTCTGAGAAAAAATTAAAAGATGAGTTCCTTATTAGTCGTTATTTGTATGAATATCGTAAGCCTTCCTGTTCAAGGTTTCTTCCCGAAGGTGCATAGAAAAGGCACCTGTAAGTATCCTGAACTGGATATCGGTTAACTCCCCTTACCATTTTACTCAAAACTGTTCGATGAATCTTTCCAACTAGTGACATGAAATTTTCTCAGATAAAGTCTTTGAGTGTCTTTTGACTTCTACAGTTGCATTGATGATGCTGATGTGACCGGTAAGCTTATGATATCAATAAATTGTTGCTGTATGTATATGCATTGAATTGAATATTGATATGTTTAGGCAGTCAGAGTGATGTCATTTACAAGGAAGAGGAAAGACACTTACAGTTCGATTGTACTCGCACCTGCCCAATTTTGCCCAACATATGGAAATGGAGAAATTTTTCGCTCCACAGCTCTATCGTGTCCAGCACGACACTGTTCAGATAATGTTTGTGCCTTCTTCTCCAGCTCCAAATTGTATTTCTGAAATATTTAAAATTGGAATTCACTAGATGAACTTAAATCTTAATAACTGTCAGACAAAAAACTGTTTCGGTTAATTCGTTATGCAAAGGCGTGTGGAAATAACTATAATACTCATTTAATAATTGTATCAGTTTAAAAATCCTGTGCTAGGAATACATGTGGCGATTCTGACAACAAATAGGCATTTCGTGTTCATATATACTTCAACTATTTGGAAAATGTGAGTAAAGCCTGCCTGTTAGCATTCATCAATCAAGTTTACTGAATTCGTTAATGTTCTACTGTGGGCGTCACAAGTCTTAAAGGGGATTGTGTTCAACCGTGAAACATACCAACACAAACATCAGCTATTAAGACATCATTGAAATTACTCAGTAGGATATATATAGTTATATACTGATTTATCTTACCATTGGTTTGATAGAAATGGCTATCGGTTGTCCTTTGAGTTGACCATTTCGAACAGTCTGTCTTACATCATTGTGAAGGGTGAGAAATTTGTTTCTCAATGTGTCGTTCATTTTCCCACTGACACGAGAAAGCAGGACCAAGCATATGCATAGTAGAATGAGTGGTGGACGTCGAATGAGATGCCTTTCTGCGGATCTTAACCTCATGTTGCATGGGAATAACAATGGGATAGCTCAACTGTTTACCGTCGAAGTGAACATTTACATGTGTATATATATCCTTAGGAGAACTAATCTGACAGATTCAAATCTCATTAGCTGACTGGAGTATTTAAACGTCAATAAGAATTATGTTTTGCTTATTAAATGTAACACATTTTGGGTCAATCGATTGATTAGTGTTAATCTCCACAGATAAAGAATGACGTCTGTTTGAGGAATCATGATAGAAGATGGTGTTATTGCTGTGTAAGATCCACCCCTTTCATGGTAATAGAGAACACCTGTTCGTATGAGGTAAAGTTTGTAAATCGTTGTACTTTAAGGTGAGCTGAGTATTTCCATAAAATTGCAATAATCCCTTATTAACCTTATAAATGCGCACAAAAACGTAGAGAAAGGAAATCCAAAGGATTCATAATTTACAAAATATTTGAAACAAAAAGGAATATATTAATGAAGAGTACTGATTTTAAAAATATAGAAGGTTACAAAGAGGGAATGCACTTATAAGGTTGTGAATGATTTCAATGGACAGCTTTTGGTCAGTGGTTCCTATAGATTGCATAGTTTTCAATATGAGTTAAATGAAAAGTTATGAAATGGTCTCATCGTTAAGAACGCCCTATTCATATCTGGCATTTTTGGACCAACATCACCTACGACAGCTTAGCAAAAAAAATTTATGACATGCATTATTCAGCCCCCATTGTGCAGAAGATTGACATTCTGATTTCGGGTTTTGTAAGAATTCTCTTTGATTCCGTAACGAAATCTGCATTAAGGTTTATAATTATTTAAGACAAACGGACTCCTTAGTTCATACACAATAGTTTTTTTAAATTATGAAGGCGTCCAGCTCACTAACTGGTTGAGTCTGAAATCATGGCCGCTAATTAGTCAGGCGTGAAGACAGATACTCGCTACTGACAGTGTTTACCTGCAGTTCTGTCTTGCTAAAGGATGGAAGTTGAATGCACACAGCTATTGTAACATGAAAGTCCTTGGTCGGTTTCTCGGTGGGTGCGTTGGTGTGCGTAACTGGAGAGTCTCAAAATGGGACAAAACAGCTGTCCACTGCTTCTTGGTTTCCAGTGATTCTGTAACTTATATTGGTTCGTGAACAGTTGTTCCCCAAAATAAAATCAATAATATTATGAATATAACTGGAAAGTGTGACATTTAAGTGTGGTTTTATTTTTAAGGGGAGTGGAGCTGCTAGCCTCACACCCAGCCTTCCCCCTTTACCAGCTTTAATTCTGGCTTAGTTAGGTTTAGGAGTGAGTCAACCGAGGATTGATTTCTGAACCACATGAAGAGTGGTCGGCGAGCGTTAGACCCCTGAATTACCGAGACACATATAAACATTATCAGGCCGAGGCGGATTGTATATGGAATACAGCCTTCTTCAAACCTTGCACATAACCATTAGGTCGCGTACTATCCTATCGCCCTTGGCAGATCTGGCATGTGACAAGCTAGGTAACCTATTCGTAATGATGAACATAAAACTGTCATTCATCTTTTTTATCACACGCTGAATACTTAATATCTATGTCACGTGTTGCTCAGCAGCATATTCCGTCAGACAGAATTCCTCCTCTCTCTTGGTTTTACATCTACAAAGCTAATTCAAATGAACTGTCGTCAAGATTTGACAGAATAGTTCTAAAATATTTGGACGCCGAGTGAGAAGTAGACATTTGTGAAAAATTATATTTGTAAAATCTCAGCGAAATTGAAATGAGTAATTCCAACGTTTCGTTCGGTAATCTGGTCCGAACTTCTTCAGGGAAATTAATCGAAATTAACATAACAGAGGTTTATATATAAAAGGAAACATCACTTGTTTTTAAAAACTTTGTCCAATCATGAGTCATTCAACAAGTATCAACAAGTAAACTAAACAAAAATTTATGAGCTGTGATCAAAATTTGACCTCTCCGTTGTCTGCAACAGAATGCATATCCTAAATCCGTAGCTGTCGAGTCACCTGACAACTGCAGTAGGTCGAATAAAGCAGCTCAATCTTCAGAAAGAAGACAAAGCAATAAGTCCGACAGGGTGCTTCTACTAAACTCTAATCCTAAACACCATAATTTTGAAAATACGTCTAATCATAAAATTCTAGATACTAGCAGTTTGAACAGACATGAAGGTGTGATGTTAGCTGATGCATAGGAAATCCTTATTAATAAATAAAAAAATGGATATGTATCACTAATTATTAATACTTGGTCAAAATTCTCGACTGTCCATATCTTCTTATGGAAACGTTAAGAAATGTTTTACAACTGTTTACCCACACACACATACACACTCTGTTTAAAGTGTTTAACAAAGGTAGACCAATATTTGTAAGTCCGAGGTCAAATTTCGATCACAGCTCATAAAATTTTGTTTAGTTTACTTGTTGATACTTGTTGAATGACTCATGATTGGACAAAGTTTTTAAAAACAAGTGATGTTCCTTTTATATATAAACCTCTGTTATGTTAATTTCGATTAATTTCCCTGAAGAAGTTCGGACCAGATTGCCGAACGAAACGTTGGAATTACTCATTTCAATCTCTCTGAGATTTTACAAATGTCTACAAAGCTAATTGCTTTCAACCATATTCAATTTCAAATCATTTATAGTGTCTCTTCACTCATTTGAAGTAACTTGAATGGATCACCGATACTTGTGTTGTTTTATAAATTAGTAGTAGTAATAATAATGCTTTATCTCAGACAGTATTGTTAACACATAGTATAGAAATCTTAATCATATTTAGTTGCGAAATATTTCTTCGCACAGGATCTAAAAGACTTGATTTGTAGGGATCTAGTTTATTTTTCAAGTTTGACAACGGATTGATATCAGTTAGAGAATCATTAAAAACCAGGGAGTACTGGACAACTGTTCCACCTTATTTTAGGATTCATCGGCATTACGCATCCACCGGGTTTCGAACCCATGGCCTCCTGGTTACAAAGCAAGTTCGTAGACTATTCAGACACTGGAACCCGACTCAATGGCCCATGAATTCTAACTTTTACCAACTTGTGATTTTAGAGCGTAGACCAGCCAATGTCATCTGTGGGAACTCCGTCTTCACTCCCGACTGGATGAATCCACTACAAATCCAGGAAACTGCGTTAGGTAGCCAGTTACTAACTAGCGAGCATCAGATCTATTTTCAATAGTTGGTTTGTAGGGATTTAAGTTGTTTTCCAAGTTTGACCCCAGAGTGATAAAAGTTAGAATTCATGGACTACTAAGACGGGTCCTAGTAGTCAAATGATCTACGAGCCTGCCTTATAGACGGGAGGTACTAGATTCAAAAACCAGTGGAATCGTACTGCCAATGAGTCCGAAACTAGGATAAATCAGCTGTCCAGTACTTCCTACTTTTCAATGATTCTAAAACTTATATCAATCCGTGGTCAAACTTGTAAAATAAAAAAAATGATGACTTTCGGCATACTTTATGACACAATGTCGTTCTATACGAAGAAAAATCCAATCTACGATATTTTTCGCCATTTCCCTCAGGAACTGTCTATAATTCTGTTGTAAGCTAGTTACAAATGCGTGTGAGTTCACTTACTAAAAAATGAGTATAATTGCATGATTAAAACAAGTGCAAAAGAGTTTAGGCATGATGATGAATGTAAATTTCATTAGTCCAGTGGTTTAAGCTGGCCACCAGTTGTTGGCAGCGCTACTCACATTGTTTGATCAACAATATAAAACAGCTTGAACTGAAATCAGCTATTGAAGAACCACTAAAAACCACGTAGTATTGGATAGCTTTTCCCTTTAATTTCGGTCATACATGACCACACAGGGAATGAAAATCGAGATTTTAAGGTTAGGTGGTGAGCCCACTGACCATTCAGCCATTGCGATGGAATTGAAAGGTTCGTGAATCCCAACTTCTGTCACTTTTCCCCAATTGACATCCGTCCACGATGTAACCTCTAAACTACAGAGTTCTTACTAGCTAATAATTGAAATTATAGACCATCCCAGTGTACCTGTAAATGAGCAGATGGTACTTTCCATTCACTATTGTTTCTATTGATGTGAAGAAACAGCTGATTACTTGACTACGAACGTAACCAAAGTATCAGATTTTTCAGATAGTTTTCAATGAACAGACAGAGGACTACATCGGGAAACGTCACATTTATTACTCAGTATATGACTCGTCATCAAGCTGTAGCATTGTATACATGACCACACTGCAGGCTGACCTACTAGTGGAACCCGAATGTGAAGCGTAGGGTTGGTTAGACATCAAAAAGTGACATGTTACACTAGGGACACAAGGAATTAATAACGATAATACTGAAAGAATTTAGTGTATACAGATGGCATGCATTATGCAAAAAAAGCTGAAAGTAAGAATTCAGTATGGATACTGCATTACATAGTATTTACACTAACGATGAATGATTTCCAGGTATTTAGCTTGATGAGACAGAAAACGTTTTCTGTCGATAACATGTTACTACTTATGCTTAGTTAGTAGTAAAACATACTCTTCAAAATATGCAAGGACTGTATGTATGACAAAATTTGTCATCATATATTTCATAGAGAATTTTCTTTGGGGCAAGAAGAAAATGCAAATGAGTCTTCTCCAAGAATTTAGTAGCAAACTCTATAGTAATATATACATGAATTTTAATAATTACTTGAATTGTGACAAAAAAACTGAATTGTATTGTACTTTATAAAATAGTTCTTTAAATGTGTAAATCTCAGTGTATGGTGCATTAATATACTAAGATTAGTATCGCCGATATATCACCGAAAGACATCTACCCCCCAACTTATCCAACCAAATCGAAGGATGCCAATGAAAACACAAAGAAAACTGTGTGGATTACTGGAAATGCTTTCGGTG